ACATCACCATAGTGCAAAGACAAGCAGACAAAAACAAAAAGCACGCATGCTACAAACTTTACCCGAGTAAAGCTACAACATCTTCACTTCTTACCCTTTTATTGAACAGTCTTGTATATGTAGGTTCCTTGGGCTTTCTTTAAAAAGTAACAAAATTACATCTCCCATTTAAATCAAATGAGTACAATTATATTTGTTCATCGTCAGTCGTATGTTTACATTTTAAAAACAAAAAAAAAAATTCCCCACATCTTTTTAAAGAAAGAGTATTTAACCTTAATCATAAAAGTACATTTCCCAATGCTAGAAATTTGGATAACATAGTAGCCAGGTTTTCAAATGTGGTCTAGTGACGGAATCCGTGATTTGGCTATGCCGTATTTTGCCTGTAACAGGCAGTAAATTGTGTTTTTTTGGTGAACTTTGCTCAGTTGGCTTGCAGCTGTTTAAACTTGTGTCACACGGTCCTACATACATATTCCACCAACAGAATCTAAGTATGTGGTTAAATCTGGTCAGTCAAGAATGATACTGATACAAGCTGCTGATGTAATGTGAGAAATAAGAGGTACATTTCCGTTAAAGCCCTAAGGTCTTGCTCAGATTGCTCATTCATTCCACTGCAGGGCAACCTGCCACTGCATGTGGCGAATAAACTTTGAACTTGAACTTGAACTTTAGTTTGATCAAAATTCGAAAACCAGCAAACAGTCCTATTCTAAAACCAAAAAAGTGTTCTACATATCTGGAGAGTCCATAACAAGTTTGAAAAGGCAGCCACATTCCCCTGATGATAATTACATTAACTGATAAACACATGAGCAGAATTCTGCTAGCACGGTTTCTACAAAGCAGAAGCTAAGACAGATCTCATTACCTGACTGGTACTGACTGATGATCCAAGGGTCCGGCGCACCTAGCTGATGCCTTAGTGTGGTCGAACACTACTGCTGCTGCTGCTAATTCACTGACATCTCCTCAGACACAGCACCTGAGGAAAGTTCTTTCTGTAAAGTTGGATAATTGACAGCCATCGAGTGGGCAAAAGAAGTCTGAGGCTGAATCTGCTACTGACGTATTATACTGAGGTTTCACAAAGTCACTTCAAGGCTGGTTAACAAGCTCAGAGAGCTAGTGTAGAGTGCTTCCTGTGTGTTCTACAGTGGGTATGCTTTAGTTTGCAGCCCAGATCACTTAATTAGGCTGAGGACGGAAAGCAAGCGGATGAAAAATGCCACCAGATGTGTCAATATAATAGAGTGGAGCTTAATGCTGTTCATTAGCGCCAACACTTCCACCCCCAACTGCATCTCCTTACCATCAGAAAAACTGGAAACCACAATGGAACCGCAGACTGAGGGCAACACCGACATTTCAGTGAATAGCTGCCCAGCCCACACTGGCATGGCCAGTAACAAGCTGGGAGGAGGAGCGGTTTAACAGTTAGCTCTTGAGATTTAAAGGCTCAAGGCACAAGTGTACATTTGTTCCATGGCTGCAAGTGATTGCTGAAATGCATATCAATGTCTGGGACGGGGACGACGTCACGATAACATGCTGTTGTAGCTCGCTTCTCTGTACAGTGCAGAAACTCTCTGAGAGACAGAGCAGAAGCTTGAAAACACGATTGGAATTGGTGACTCATTTGCTGTTTCTCACCAGCCTACAATCACACCCACTCAGCAAGAACACTGAAGCACAGACACACTCGCGAGCTCCATGCTCCCACCACGAGGATGCTCTTGATGTGCTACAGTTGAAGCTCTGCACAGCTTCTTCTGACGCTCGCTGCATCGCTCTTTCTCACATTTCAACCACCGCCTCACATCTACAGCAGAGGTTCTAAACAGAAAATGAAAAAAAAAGACATGCCAAACTGTGACTCCGCTCTCCGACAAGCCCAGGCTGTACGCTCCATCGAAACATGCCGAAGCGTCACAGGAAACTGGGGTACACAAAATAAAGGAGCTATCAGAGTAAATATGACTGAACCTTGCATAATGAATACACTTGCTCAGCTGACTCCAGTTTCCTGGAAGAATGCCCTTGTTAAGTGTTTTTCCACTCAACCATTGATGAAATTTACCCCTAAAACCTTGCTCTCCATTTATAGCTACTCTTCTCCTGCTCTTCTGTTTTGTTTTGTTTTTTGTTTTTGCCTTTTTATTACAATGTGTCTCCTTTGTGAAAGGCTGGCTCTGGATTGGAAACTCCAACGAGGAAGAAATCACAAAGTCAAATGTTCTGGACGAGTCCAGGCATTGACATCTTTTCGGTACTAATAGTAGGTCAAGAACATCCTGTGACTTCACAGAAACTGCCCTGGAATATAATTTTTAGCATTTAGCACAGATAGGCCTTTGACACATTGTCTCAACCTCCACAGAGGATGAAAAAATACTAGTGCAATCTGATTTTCCACTCATCCCATAACTAGCATCACCTATTTGGTACAAGCTTTTACACAAAAGCTAGAAACATCAACTCATATCAGCCTACTGTTCTCATTACTCATCTTTACACATTAAAAACAGCTTTTAATATAATAAAGTTACATAATAAAGTATTTCTGTAGTTCTGATTTGACACCAGATCTTAATGTAACTGTGAGTTTGCAAAAAGACAATGACATCTCCCCTCCTCGACTTCTTTTTCCACCCGTGAAAAACTGGGTGTGAAACACTTGGCTTGTAAGTAGGGGACACAGTGAAATATTGAGACATTTTATATTAGCAAGTAAAGCTACAAGAAAAAGAAGAATATGTAAAAAAAGTTCTCTGTGCATATATGAATAAAACTTCTGCAAGGTCAAACATCCACCACCGATGTCATTTAAATTAAACTAAGACACGGTGACTGGCAAAGTGAAGATCAAGCAGTGCAACTGGCTAACTGGGGAAATGCTGAAGTTCAAGAGTAATTCTAGTATTTCAGTCTGTGAAATACTAGAATTTCACAGACTGAAATACCATTAATTTAGCCTTAATTTTCGACTTCCATTGTGGTTCATTTAGCTTCATTTAGGCTGCAGGTAAGTTTCCATTAAGATAAAATGACTTTCCGTTGTCTTCTTAATGATCTACAGGGTCATCCACTGTTTTTACATATTGAATTTCTATAAAGCCAGTTACAAACAAATTTGCATGAGTATATGAATAGGACATGTTAAGGTCAACAGTGAAAAAATTCCTGTATGGAGATCCTCAATTAAGTTGAAACAGCTAAATATATAAACATATATTTCAATTGAATTGAATTCAATTTTATTTATATAGCGCCAATTCACAACAAAAGTCGCCTCAAGGGGCTTCATATATTCATATATGAAAAATTTCCAAGTCTATCTTAAGTGGACAGTGAAAAGTTAAAGGATAAAGCATTCATAAGAACCATTAATGGGAAATGCAGCAACCTGAATAATCATGTAAGGCACATCCATCTGAATGCTACAGAAATCCTTTGATATACGCCAGTCCTTCCATCTTTATGTTTTTATCCTATTTTCATGCTCCTCTCTGGTGGTGCTATCCACTACAAAGTTCTTATAAATACTAATACAAAGGGTTTTTTAACCTCTGGACCTCCAGAACTACAACTTCAAGACATAAACATGTGACATTCAACCCTTGACTTAAACATTTGTGATCACAGTAGGAATCCCAATGAAGTACATGCTTTAAAAGTCAACTCCTGTCCTTTGTCTCTGCAGATCCTGGACTCCTGAACATCAAGGTAGACATAGACGTATGTTTCTACGCAGTACAATGGACTTTGCAATGTTTCTTCTAGATTTCAAGAAGCAATATCAGGTTTACTGTTTACAAAGTTTTACTGTTTATGTTAAGTGAAAAGCATTGAATAAATTAAACAATTTGAATTCTGTATCAGTCCAGTGCGGCCAGTTCGGTCCAAGTGTATGAACGAATAACGACAACGGTAACGATACTAGAGTACAACTTTTATTGCGCCATGCATCTCAGCTCAGTTATAGTAGTTGTTAGCCTCAGGCAACCACAGTACAACGTTAAACAATGATCAAAGGCAGAGTCTAATGTCAGTTATGCTCTTTTCTAACTCTCTGTCATACATGATGGGGGCTCTCTTATCAGCACTTTCTACCATTCCCACATTGTCATTTATCAGATCCCTCCTTCACAAAACCCACACAAAGGAACAAAGTGCATTTTTTATGCAACATTGTGCTCACTTAAAAAACAAAAAAACAAAACGTATCACGTGCTTGTGCACTGTGGACTCCAAGAAGGAAACAAAGAACACAGTGCTGCTGCTGGCTGTCGAAAACCAATCTAATATAAGTGCCGTCATGTTCCAGTCTAACCTAGCAGCCACACTCGGATTAGGAAATAATGGGAACATGTTTTTTTCCGCTGCAGTTTTACCCCCGGATATATGCAGCATGGGACTAAGAGAACAGACACACACACACACAGGACTGATGTGTCAGAGCTGAGGAGAGGTTGCAGTGGGCACCGGCTGACCTTACCTTTACTCCCACAGGAATTTTTCAGGTTGACCTTAGTGCTGTACTGCGTATTAAAGATGGCAGCAGCAGAAATGGAGGTCAAGAAGGAATCCAACACTTTAGCTTTTAGCTGGTGGCAGCTGTTGACCTGCAGGTCAGACTTGTAACAACATCAGTGGCGCACCACTATTACGCTGCACGCCCCAAGCTAACGCACCACAGGTATGAGCGCCTATTTGGAACAGCAGGTTAGCTTGTGGCAACTATCTCCGCTTCATGTGTACGCATGTGCTTTAATGCATGTGTGTGCGCTTGCTCTAGTATCCTTATGACCCACATCCATTGAAGGAAAATCCTCCAGAATGAGCAGGTTTTGTGGGCCATCTGCTATGAGGTTATTTTCACATGGCAGTGTGTGTGTGTGTGTGTGTGAGCAAGAGAGTAAACACGGCCGAGTTCATCCACAAGTGTGTTTGTGTCAGCTTACAAATGTCCAGTGGAGTGTGAAGACTCATACCTCGGGTTTTCAGCGTATCAGGATCTTTATTTCCTCCACATTGCGTTGTGCTTCGCCAAAACAGAGGCCCTGCGGAGACACACAGAGGCTCAATTATTCATTGTTGCGATTGAATAAAACATGAATATCAACTGCGTATGTGCCAGACCTCGTCATTCACGATAGTCTGCGGAAAATGGGTCTTATACACATACACACACACAAAAGACACAAAACAAAACAAAGCAGCAGATGTGTCCAGCTGGAATGAATGACCTCGATCCAATTAGCAGAACAGAAACTGCAATCCCCCCTTACACAGCAGCATGGCGGCACTGTATTTGTGACATTCAACTAGTCAACAACAGGTTAGTGTGAAGGGTGCAGGAACTGCTGGCTTTAATCACAGGCCTGTGTGGTGGCCCCATTTCTGACAGCCTCTCCAGCAGGTGCATTCTGGAAATCTATTCATTCACTCGTCCAGGTGCAAATGAGACGATGCTGCTAAATGTAGGACATCATCCCTCACTGCCATCTGCCACTGAATGAGGCTTGACTGCATTCTAAGCATGAATGATGCTGGAATAAGAAAATGTTGCTTATAATAATACAGTCTAATGCAACTTTACTAGTGTTTGTAGCTCTCACTGCATTTTTTAAAGTTACAACTTGATTTCCACTTTTGTTCTGTGCTTCAAACTGCCTCAGAGGAGGAGGGATTTTTTTAATGGGGTAGCACAGGGTGGGGAGCACAGGAAATGAGGAAATAAATGCTATGTAGAAAACATAACATTTATAGTTTTCTACATGCCTATTTACGTCCACAGACTAATAAACCTTCACTCTTCATGTGAATCCAGCAAGACAGGAGGAGGATCTGACTTTTTGGGCATCGCCGTCCTGGGATTGGCTACGATTTTTCAGGCTCCTGTGCCCTGTTATTATGTAAAGAGTGCCACTGCTTAAGATACTGAAATTATTTTCTATTGAACAGCTTTTGCAACAAAAGCAACTTAAAGTGCCTAAAGTAAAACACACATACAGTACTGTGCAGCCACCTCTCAATTTGGTAAATTTTATGCAGTTATTTTATATAGGTGCATTCCACGTGTTTGCATGTTTATTAAATTTAGGATGTATAATATAGGGCAAAATAAAGGTTGTACAGAAAAGAAAAAAAAGGTTGTACAGAAGAACTTGAGAGTCCATATTTGATATATTTAAAGTCTGTATTATAACGGAATACTTCTCCTGGCTTCCCTAGTAGGAAATTCTGCTCCTTGTCATTTACAGATGGCTTTAGACTGAACATATGTACAATTTTCCCCTCTTAATAGCTATCAGGGAATCACTTTGTTGGTGCAAAAAATACAATTTCAGTGTCAAATTGCATTACTGTTTGCATTTTTCATAGATTCAACTTGCTAGATTTTCTGTTATGTGTTGACCAGATGCTGGTTCATTGAGTTGTCAATAACAAAAATACAACTCAATACTTTGTAACATAACCTTTGTTGGCAATAACAGAGGTCAAACGTTTACTATAGGTCTTTACCAGGTTTGCACACACAGTAGCTGGTATTTTGGCCCATTCCTCCATGCAGATCTTCTCGAGAGCAGTGATGTTTTGGGGCTGTCGCCGAGCAACACGGACTTTCAACTCCCGCCACAGATTTTCTATGGGGTTGAGGTCTGGAGACTGGCTAGGCCACTCCAGGACTTTCAAATGCTTCTTACGGAGCCACTCCTTTGTTGCCCGGGCGGTGTGTTTTGGATCATTGTCATGTTGGAAGTAGAGCTGGGCGATATGAGATTTTTTCATATCACGATATGTTTTTTTCATTTCAGGCGATAACGATATCTATCACGATATAAGCCAAATAACTATATTTGTAAGATTTAAATGTGCCGTTGCTCACAAGTAAAATGTGAAATAATCAGCAGCTTGTTTTTATTTAAATATTTATTTCCCATAATAAGTTCAACAGGGTAGATGTACTTAAGGAACATGAGACTTTTTCAGATAAATAAAGGCAAATATTGCAAACTACACAAAAGGCAGCCGCTAAAGCGTTTAAGTTTCAAAATAGAACAAACAAAACAGACTAAATTGTCAATTCCACTTAGAAACAAAATAGTAATTCTAAAAATAAATCTTAGTTTGTTTTACAGAAGAACAGACAAAACTGACTAACTTTTGTCAATATCAAATAAACTGAGAACGAAAAGGAAATTCTCAATCTCTCCTTGTTGTATAGCTGAGCTTTTCAAACAGTTTTAACAGTTACTTTAGTCTGACAAAAGCCGAATGACGAATTAGCGCTTCCAGTCAGAGACTGAGGCTACGTCCACATGTACACGGGTATCTTTGAAAACGGAGATTTTCCGTTTTCGTTTTAAAAAATAATCCCGTACACACATAAAGGCAGAAATGAAGGAAAACGCTGCTATGAACATGCCAAAGCAGCAGGTGGCGCTAGATTCCTAACCGTGCCGAAATGTTGGCCAATCAGAAGTCTAGAAGCCTCGGTGGGAAAAAGTAAACAAAGCTGGGGCATAGAAGCAGAACCGAGTCGTATGTGTGGAGGGACAGTAACTTTGTGTATATGTAAGCATTTAAACACTGCAGAGAGTAGAATTAACAGTAACAGTATTGTAGAAATTCATTTCACCGAAACAATAACGTGGCGCACAGTGTGACGCATGCACCAGTTTATTGTATTTCCAGACTTGCTTTCGGCACAATTTACAGTGCTCGCTACTCTGTTTTTTGTCAGACTTGAAATAGCCGAAATACCGTCACACTACGGAACTTCTATGGCTCTTCCGTTCGACAATCTCTCCGGCATTGGAACCATCATCTGTTTTCTCTTCGGTCACGCTCGGTTGATTTTTCTAGTTGGCACACTCATTTCCTCCATTACGCGCTGGCTCCATTACCCGCTGGCTGCTTCCCAAACAAACACACGTGCGGCTTGGCACTTGTGCTGTACGTAACAAGTCACGCGACGTGATGCTGCGGCTGTGATTGGTTCGGCTCTGCGCTACTTAATTTGGATTGGCTGACCTTTTTTTTTTTTTTTTTTTCTTGAGGACAAGAGCGGCGAGGTCTATCGCGATAGCTTAATTTCTCTATCGAGTCAAAGTTATATCGCGATACATATCGTTATCGTTCTATCGCCCAGCTCTAGTTGGAAGACCCAGCCTCGTTTCATCTTCAAAGTTCTCACTGATGGAAGGAGGTTTTGGCTCAAAATCTCACGATACATGGCCCCATTCATTCTGTCCTTAACACGGATCAGTCGTCCTGTCCCCTTGGCAGAAAAACAGCCCCATAGCATGATGTTTCCACCCCCATGCTTCACAGTAGGTATGGTGTTCTTGGGATGCAACTCAGTATTCGTCTTCCTCCAAACACAACGAGTTGAGTTTATACCAAAAAGTTGTACTTTGGTTTCATCTGACCACATGACATTCTCCCAATCCTCTGCTGTATCATCCATGTGCTCTCTGGCAAACTTCAGACGGGCCTGGACATGCACTGGCTTCAGCAGCGGAACACGTCTGGCACTGCGGGATTTGATTCCCTGCCGTTGTAGTGTGTTACTGATGGTGACCTTTGTTACTTTGGTCCCAGCTCTCTGCAGGTCATTCACCAGGTCCCCCCGTGTGGTTCTGGGATCTTTCCTCACCGTTCTCATGATCACTTTGACCCCACGGGATGAGATCTTGCGTGGAGCCCCAGATCGAGGGAGATTATCAGTGGTCTTGTATGTCTTCCATTTTCTGATGATTGCTCCCACAGTTGATTTTTTCACACCAAGCTGCTTGCCTATTGTAGATTCACTCTTCCCAGTCTGGTGCAGGTCTACAATACTTTTCCTGGTGTCCTTCGAAAGCTCTTTGGTCTTGGCCATGGCGGAGTTTGGAGTCTGACTGTTTGAGGCTGTGGACAGGTGTCTTTTATACAGATGATGAGTTCAAACAGGTGCCATTCATACAGGTAACGAGTGGGGGACAGAAAAGCTTCTTACAGAAGACGTTACAGGTCTGTGAGAGCCAGAGATTTTCCTTGTTTGAGGTGACCAAATACTTATTTTCCACCCTAATTTACAAATAAATTCTTTACAAATCCTACCATGTGGATTCATGGATTTTTTTTTCACATTCTGTCTCTCACAGTTGAAGTGTACCTCTGGTGCAAATTACTGACCTCTGTTATCATTTTAGGTGGGGGAACTTGCACAATCGGTGGCTGACTAAATACTTTTTTGCCCCACTGTATATATATGTGTGTGTGTGTGTATTGTACTGAAGAGAGAGCTGAGTGTAAAATGGAAGCTCTTGGCTCTTGATTTACCGGTCGATCTACTTCCCTACCCTTAGATTAGATTAGATTAGATTAGATAGAACTTTATTAATCCCTCGGGTGGGTTCCTCTGGGAAATTCGATTTCCAAAAAAGCACAGCACCGACAGAAGTTACAGAGTTACAGAATATTATATATATATATATATATATATATATATATATATATATATATATATATATATATATATACACACACACACATATATATAAATACAGAGACACCTTAGCTATGGTCACGAGCTGTGGGTAGTGACAAAAAGAATGAGATCGCGGATACAAGCGGTGGAAATAGGTGGCTAGCCTCTCCCTTAGAGATAGGGTGAGGATTTCAGCCATGAGCGAGGGGTTCAGAGTAGAACAGCTGCTCCTCCACATCAAAAGGAGCCAGTTGAGGTGGTTCAGGCATTTGACAAGGATGCCTCCTGGGAGCCTCCTGGGTGAGGTGTTCCAGGCATGTCCCATCGGCAGGAGGCCCCGGGGCAGACCTGGGACACGCTGGAGAGCTTAAATCTCTCGGCTGGCCTAGGTATGCCTCGGTGTTCCTCTGGACAAGCTGGAGGAGGTGGCTGGGGAGAGGGAGGTCTGGGCTTCTCTGCTTAGGCTGCTGCTCCCCTCAATCCCAGCCGGCACAAAGCAAGAGCCAGAGTACACCTTGGACAGGCCAAAACAGAGACAGAAAACCATTCACATTCATAGCTACAGCCAACTTTGCATCTTCA